TAAGCCATAAAATAAACCATCCTACAAATTGCTGAAATCTTATAATTGTTAACATAAATATACTACACAAGGAAGAGTATTTAATGACTACAGCTGAGCATAAATAGCATTGTATGCGTAAAACCAATGAAGTGAACTATTTCAAGAATTTCATTAAATCACATCCGAATAATTGATTATTTTTAGTTCAATTAAATCTATATGTATACCTGCGTTATTTATCATTTACATATAAATTGACAAGTAAGAAATAAAACAAATACCGAAATCTGCATAAAAGGATAAATTCAAAAGGCATGAGTAAAGTAAAAGAAAACAAAAATAAAACAATGAAAAATAAAAATACCTAGACATCATTAAAAATAATGCTCAATTGCATTTCTCATCGCTGTGGTTGATTTGGATTGGCGTGAAAATGGGCGCCAGGGCAATTTCGCAAATTTCTCAGTTTCGCAACTTCGCGACTGCAGAGGCGACAGCGGGCATGGCCGATGCTTCCTCGAGATTCTCGCGGATACCAACCTTGATGTTGATTTATAGGTGTCGTTAGCTTGGTATTAGTAGCGTCTATTTTCGTGTCTGCCTTATGCTGCGTGCCTGCATCCCTGACTGTCTCCCTCTCGCTCCCTCTCTCATTCATACTATTTCTTTCTCTGTCTGCCTGTTTGCTCAGGGTCCATGGGCTGCCAATTGTCTTGCGGCATCTCTCAGTCCTTCTAAGGTTCGTTTCTATTTTCTGAATTGGCAACGAGGCGAAGTATATTCGGCAATGCACATACATGTATGTTGGGCATCTACGGAGCCAGCGGGCATGGGTACGATTATTGGTGCAATCGGCTAAGCAATTAAAGTGCTCTCTTCGTCACGCATATTTGCTTATCAGTCATTTAGATAGTTTGCATACAAATTGCCCTGCATTGTCCGACACAATTCTCTGGATCTCTCTCATTAAATACCCTACTCAAACTAACCTGATTTTCCTTTGAAATGGTTAGCAAGCCTAATAAAATTTGGCTGGATGATGATAATAATAACTACTATGGCAATTAATGTGTGTTAACCAGTATCTAAATTTGCATTGAATGAAGCGTTCTTAAATGTCGTCTATACCTTCGCTTGCTTGCTCGACTATTAGGAAAACGGCTTATATGGATCGATTCAAATTAAATGCGTGGCACTACTTTCGCTCTACTCAGTTTCTTTGTCTCTGCCAACTAATTGAGTTCTTATCTCAATTTAAATTCCCTTGGTGAGAGAGCCTTCGATATAAAGACGACAATTGCCGATCCGCGTGCCATTTGTTGTTGAGTCTAGGAGCCGACAAGAATCAAACGTGCGATTTTATTTTCATCCCTTCGTTGGCCTTAAAGGTGTGTGTAAAGCGTGTGTGTATTTCAATTATATTCGATTTGGAATAACAAGGAACAAGGGACTATATACGGAGACAAGCTCATCTCTTACACAAAATCTTTTTGGAATACGTGATTGATTTTCAATTTTGATAAAAATGCAATACAAAATTTCGAGTGAACTACTTTTTTTATATACCCAAAAGGACTAAGTTGAACATTAAAAAATATTGAAATCTCAAAAAGTTTTCTGTTTAGATTCATTCAAGTTTTATATTGCAATAATAAGTAATGAATACAAGCTCATCTCTTACACAAAATCTTTTTGGAATACGTGATTGATTTTCAATTTTGATAAAACTGCAATACAAAATTTCAGTGAATACTTTTATAACCCAAAAGGACTAAGTTGAACATTAAAAAATATTGAAATCTCAAAAAGTTTTCTGTTTAGATTCATTCCAGTTTTATATTGCAATAATGAGTAATGAATACGATCAGATAGATATATCATTTACACAGCAACAAATTCGAAATGAGTTCTACAAAAATCACATCTATTATTTTAGATAAACAACTGTCAAAATGTGTGACGATGATGCGGGTGCATTAGTTATCGACAATGGTTCGGGCATGTGCAAAGCCGGCTTTGCTGGTGATGACGCCCCCCGTGCTGTGTTCCCCTCGATTGTGGGTCGTCCACGCCACCAGGGTGTGATGGTGGGTATGGGTCAGAAGGATTCGTACGTCGGTGATGAGGCTCAGAGCAAACGTGGTATCCTGACGCTCAAATATCCTATTGAGCACGGCATTATCACCAACTGGGATGATATGGAGAAGATCTGGCATCACACCTTCTACAACGAGTTGCGTGTGGCCCCCGAGGAGCATCCAGTATTATTGACAGAGGCCCCACTTAACCCCAAGGCCAATCGCGAGAAGATGACCCAGATCATGTTCGAGACCTTCAACTCGCCAGCCATGTATGTTGCCATCCAGGCTGTGCTCTCGCTGTACGCCTCCGGCCGTACCACTGGTATTGTGTTGGACTCCGGTGATGGTGTCTCCCACACTGTGCCCATCTATGAAGGTTTCGCCCTGCCCCATGCCATCCTGCGTCTGGACTTGGCCGGTCGCGACTTGACCGATTATCTGATGAAGATCCTCACTGAGCGTGGCTATTCTTTCACCACCACCGCTGAGCGTGAGATCGTGCGTGACATCAAGGAGAAGCTGTGCTATGTCGCTCTGGACTTCGAGCAGGAAATGGCAACGGCTGCCGCCTCCACCTCCCTGGAGAAGTCGTATGAGTTGCCCGATGGTCAGGTCATCACCATTGGCAATGAGCGTTTCCGTTGCCCCGAAGCTCTGTTCCAGCCCTCGTTCTTGGGCATGGAGTCCTCTGGCATCCACGAGACTGTCTACAACTCCATCATGAAGTGCGATGTGGATATCCGTAAGGATCTGTATGCCAACTCTGTGCTATCCGGCGGTACCACCATGTATCCAGGTAAATGACGCATATCCTTAACCGATATCAAATATTAAATATGTTCCGCATGTTATATTTTAGGTATTGCTGATCGTATGCAAAAGGAGATCACTGCCCTGGCCCCATCGACCATTAAGATCAAGATCATTGCGCCACCTGAGAGAAAGTACTCCGTATGGATTGGTGGCTCCATCTTGGCTTCGCTGTCCACCTTCCAGCAGATGTGGATTTCCAAGCAGGAATACGATGAGTCTGGTCCCGGCATTGTGCACCGCAAGTGCTTTTAAGTCTTTCCCTCGTTGCGAAAGATCAACAAAGACAACCACCGCCTTAGCAAAGTCGCAAACCAATCACAACCACGTCGGCGAGCTTTTCACCAAGGCCAGCTCGCTTCACATTAAACCAAATCAGCAAAGAAGAAGTGGATAACAACAACCATAACTATCATTAAAGTCACAATATCAATTAGAGGCTAATCACTCTATTGGCCTCACTCTTTAAAATGTAACCAATACCAAAGACACCGGCGATTTTCAGTCAACAGCGATAGTCAACAGCTTTATGTGAAATTCGCCGCAGTGTAAAATAATTAAATATTTTATAAACGTATCTAAACTGTATATTTTAATCGTAGTCTGAGAAATAAAAGCCAAATATATCTTCCATTAAAAAATATAAACATTTTCAATAAAGACATTTTTTTCTATTACATATTTTCTTTAGTGTTAACAATTTCAATATCATTTAATAATTTTTTAGTTTGTCAATAATTTTTTTGTTTTTTCTTATGTTAAGTGGAAGTGCTTAAAATAATTTATTAATATATAATACCAAAATACGTTAACATTTTAATAGAGTCAGTGAGAAAACAAGTGAGAACGTTGCAATCGGGCGTAACCGACTGTGAAATTCTCTGATACCAATAAGTAATATCAGCTGATAACAGGTGCCACAGAATAGTGGCAATTGGTGTAGCCAAGAAAAACCGATCTTTGAAGAAGGTTCCTAGTAATCTAACTTCCCAGTTTTGTAACTTTAGTTCTAAATATGCGAAAGATATAGTCTTTAAAAATTTGGTGATTCTAGCTAAAGAAATGTGGATAATACGGGCATTTCCCATTTTATGGCCGGATGGACAGGGTGTGTGAGCGTGGTCTGAATATGAAAATATATGACGATTTTTGAAGGAAGTTATTAGCAAGCTACTCTCCAAGTTTGGTAACTCTGCGGACGGACAGACAGCATGACGGACATTGCACAAAACCAATATACTCTTGTACCTTTGGTATCAGAGTATTAAAACAACGGTAAACTTTCTTGGATGTATGATGTATGTATGTTTGTATGTATGTATGTTTGTATGTATGTATGTATATATATATTGACTTGGTAGCTTAAAGAACACAAATTTGGTGTAAAATAAATGGTTTGGCAGTGATATCTTTTGTCAATGTAATTATTTTATTATAATTTACATTCTCGGCTTCAGCATTAAAAGATGGGATTTTGTTTTGGCTTCTTGGGATTGGTGGAGATTCACCTAAATATGAGTATTCTTGTTTTAGTTAACGTACACATACATAAGTAATTTTAAAAGTAGGTATACAAATATTGTATAGACCGGCATTGCACGCAGTATAGTTAATATGAGGGTCGAGGCTACACTTATGCATATATAGAATATTTAAAATATTTTTGTATGTGTGCTTAGAATCATAAATATTTACGCAGCTAACTTTTAGTTTGATTAACAAGCTCCTTAACTTAATTGACTTGTTACCTCATTACACTAGGAAATAACATTTGTCGTCCAGGACAGTCACTAAACTTTTCCAATTTTAATTAGATAGAAAACTGACTGTTCTGGACAAGACAAAATTCTGTAGCCAGTGTTAACTATGTACACTTCTTACAATCTATGAATGGCTTTGAATTTTTTTTATTTTTTTTAATGCAGTTTTTTGTTGGCAGTTTTCCTTGGGTTTGAAATTGCCGTGTTTCGAAAATACTTTTTAACATTCGTCGATAATTTTTCTAGTTAACTTTACATTGCCTGTACTTGCTTTTGTTTGTGCATCTAACATGTATTAAAAAATATATATATAATTTCTCTTCTTTTCTAAAAAACAAAAAAATACATGTTTACACACTTACTCCTAAGTATGTATGTATGTGTTTTTTGCTTTTTAGAAAAGGAAAATGTTTGAAAGACGAAGTGAGGGACTTGAAGTCCACTAAACCTTCCTGCTTTCAAATTTCCTCTTCCAGTACCAACGAAAACTTCTCGAGGCATGTGTGTGTGTGTGTTTGTTTGTGTATGTGTAAATCGTTGTAATACTATTAAATTTGTATATTTTGTGCAATTGACGCGACGCTCATAATTGAGATATCTCATGGAGATGGCTGCAGTTTTCTGGAACTGGCAGTGAAGGTAAGCAAAGCTGTTTAAATGCACAAGAGCCAAGCGACCAGAAAATCGTTGCGCAAAATAATAGCACCAAGGATTCATCAAGCCCATTTGCAATGAACACCAGACTGAGCCGATCACACAACGTCCAGATAGAGTCCTGACGTCGGCGATATTGAGCAATGCCCGCAAAAGCCCCCACAAAAAGCGCGCCGCGACGACGCCAATGTGTCGAACTGAAAATCAGAATTCGGATTAGATGGCAGATAACAAAAGATGAGCTGATTACATACCCCGCTGGCACGCTGCATGACCGCCCGATTGCCGTAGGTTTTCCAAACGGTCGTCGGCCGCATGAGAAACCCCGTTCCGTCCAGACTGATGGAAAAATCTCCCTGTGGGCAATTCATGTTGCGGCTATAGCAATCACCCGCCGATCCGAGCGCCTGCCGGTGTCCCCTCGACTTGGCAAACTCGAAATCGTTCTCAATAATGCGCAGGTCGCTGATGTTGAGCCGCAGCTTGCTGAAATGCGTACGTCCCGAGTTCTGATCGTTGGCGTACTCATGGTCCCGCGACATGGGCGGACAGTTGTCGATGTACCGCGTCTTGTACTCGTAGTAGATGGAGTAATTCTCCTGTGGCTCCACAGTGATATACTCTCGCGGCGTCAGACTGTTCATTTGGTGGCAGTAGATGCGCATCTGGCGTCCCCGCACCAGCAATGTGTACTCACCATCCTTGTACAACCGATACATGCGCTGCAAATCGGAACAGGTCTGTGCTCCTCTGCTCTCATGGCTGCTGGGACTTTTCATCTTGCAGCTGGGTGGCGGAGTGCATTTGATTTTATCGAACTTCGGCTTGCTGGCGACCCGCCGCATATGTGAGTCGTAATACAGGATTCGTCGCCTCTGGTAGCCCGAGCAATCACACTGTTCACAAAAATTCAAGGTTAAGCTGTGGTTCACAAACTGAATGTGGCAAATCATGGCAATGCTTCACTTACGGATGAGATCACTTTGTATTGCCGTTTCATACAGTGACTGCATATTTTTCGACGAGTTGGCCGCTTGCCCACATCACAATTCCGTTCGTTCACGCTCTTGCCCAGCCACGAATCGCAGCGCACGCTGCGCGTCTGGTAGTCCACATCACAGTCCCTTGAGCATTGAGTCCATTCCGAGGTGACCCACCTGCAATTGATTTTGCACAATTTGGTGGTCTTGCGCAGCGTTGGTTTGCGCACCTTCAGTGCCTTGCAGTAGGATTCGTCCACATTTTCCTTGCGCTTGGGCGTGCCAGGCACCTCGGGCTTGTAGACTCGCGCACAACTCTGCACCTTTCGCTTCTCGCCCGTGCCACATTCCACAGAGCACTGAAAACAATTGAATTGATTAGTTGGCGACATCGGAATTAAATTGCTGATAGTAAATGTGTGAACGAATTGAAAAATCAACATTCGTCATTGAAATTAAATGCCGCTTTCCATTTTCGCATTGTGTTATAATGTAATTTATCTGCAAAGGACAATTTCGCATATCTTACCGGTAGCCACTCGCTGGTGTACTTGATGTGGCAGCAGTTACGCACTTCCTTGGGCTTCTTCGGGTCATCAGGTGGACAGTAGTTTCCGTATGGATGTACACAGGTCACAGTTCGGTTCATCTTACACCAATCGCTGCACTCACCCCACTCTCCCGTCTGCCAATAGTTCACAGAGCGTTGGTTTATCTGAATAAATTGGGTGGAAATTAGTAAGTTAAGTCGCATCTGTGGCATCTTTGGGTAACTTACTTTCGGGTAATATTGGCACGGTTCTGCACGACATTGCTCATGGCTTACAATCTCGAATTTAAGTCGGCAAAAGGACATATCAACGATATTCGATCTCTGAATATCGGTGAATGTCTGTATGCAATTGAAGGTCTTCTCTCGGGTGCCCAGTTCCCCACAAGCGGCGGAGCATTCCGAAATGCTAGTAGTGTTCAATCTGCAGCACAAACAGTTTTCGAGAACAATTATATCAGAACTGTAATAACCAATTTTTAACCACAACTCACGTTAGGATGCAGTCCGTGTTGCAGTTGCGATACTCGGGCTTTGGCATCGCCGACTCATCGCAGAATTGTGGCGCTACTTTGAGACCCAGAGTTGTGCTTATACAGGCCGCCTGGCGATGCATTGTGCCCTGGCACAGTGAGTCGCAGTTGCTCCACGCCTGCATCTGCCAGCGATAGATCTCCACCTGCGTTTCTGCAATGATTGGCTTGTCCACTGTGTACGTATAGGTGATCAGTATGGTATCCTGGTTCTTGGCAGCACTCAAGTCTATCGATATGATCTATTGATTTGACGAATATATATAAACATGGTTACTTAGGTACGACCAGTCGAACGTCTCCTGATTTACCTTTACGATTAGATCACGCGTCAGCTTCCATGAATCAGTGGTGTTTACTCGCTCTATTGTGCTATTGGAGCCATTGTAATCGATTGTTACACCCGCATACGAATACTTCTTGGGATATGGTGTTACCACTCTGTCGCTATTCAATATTGGAGATTGGTGGTCATCAGTGAGCACAATATAGTTCTGATCGGGATAGCCACGCTGTGTAATAACTATGTTAGAGGCACCTGCATGGACAGAAAAACGTATTCTTTAAATTCTCAATCTAATACATTGACAATAATTCGGAAGCTTAACTTTCATAAAAAATGATAACTGAACTTAACTTTCATAAGAAATGAAAAACTTTCATATGAGAAAGCTGTATTTTCAAGCTTTAATGCAGAATTAATATAGATTAATAAAAGTCCTGCATTGCATTGAATCTAAACGCATAAGATCGTATTGGATACCAATTACAGGAAAGAAAAACAAAACAGGGCTGATGTTCATATTTATCGATAAAATGTTAAATAACAGAGTAATTTGAGAAAAGATTACTTAAAATACTTCGATGCTAAGTGCTACTGATATATCTGATAAAGCTGATACATCGATACAAGGGAATATCGATGATTTGCATACACGTATAAGAAAAGAATCCTCGGCATGAAAATTTCGTTTTCGGTCTAGTTTTTTCCGGATGTCGTGAATCACGTTTAATTAATTGCAATTGCAATTGCATGAATGCATACTCGTATTGTAAAATTGTTATTCACAAACTTTTCACCTGCTAATAATTGCAATTATTACTATGCAGTGCAACACCTATTTCTGTGTATGTATGCATGAGATTACAATGGGCGCCAGTGCTGATAATGGGTGAGCAGAGTGTGCAATTTGAGTCGATTAACGTATACTCGATGCCGACCTCTGACGTGTGATCCGGCGCCATTGGCCGTCTGTCGATTATGGAATCGTCTGGCAATCAGTACGTACGTGAGGTGCCTAGGTGCATTTGGATTGGAATTGCCTTCAGCTGATGTCTTGACACCGACAGCAGATCACAGTCGACAAACCACAACTCACGTGTTCCGGCAAAAAAAAAAGGTAGGCAATACAGCAATTACCTAATATACATACATGTATGTACATGAATATAGTTGTCTGAACATGTATGTACATGTATAATTATGATTGGCTAGGGTTGGGCCAAGATGACTCAATTGGGCATCGAAGTCGTTAAAACTATTTAATAGCACATTAAGTTACGCAACGCATAAACATTTAACATTAGCATTCACTCATCAAATCATTAGCCAAAATGTAATTATAGAATTGTGATTTTTTTTTTCTTCTGCTTTTGCTGCTTTTTTTAGGCAACCGGTAATTTTGGGCATACACACCTTTTGGTATCGTCGTGACGTAGTAGAGGCTCAGCAAGGGCTTATCCCTACTCAGTAGATCGGAGACATACACGTTGCCGGTGTGCTCCTCGCACGTATCGTTGTTTCCCTCGCACACTCCACATTTATCTGCGATTGCAATTGAAAAGAATGCAAAATGTGTGTTAAATTTCGTGTTTATAGATTTTTATTGAATAATTACCAAGCTTGGCAATGGAGTTGAGCTCGTTATCACAGCCAGCTGGGCGACAGATGCCGTTGACACACTTGTCAAAGCTGTCCACGGTGCAGGTGGTGCCATCCCTGACCATATCCTTGAGCAGAAAGTAGGCACTGTCGTCCTCCAAGCGGCAATACAACTTGCACTTGTCCGCCACATATGCGTTCACTGTGTTCAGTTATATATGGGATTAGTTAAGTTAACTGTGCACTTGTGTCAAGTGTTTTCACTCACATCCGTATTTGGGTATCCACTTGGCGTCCGCACTAATGCCTGGTATTTTTAAGTTGCGGCCATTCTGGTCATAGCACTCCTGTTCGCGGGGCTCTATAGTGCCCGTTGGGCAAGGGTGTGTCTTGCACGATCGATACTTCTTTCGACTGCCCTCGCAGTACTTACCCCCATTTTCGGGCACCGGATTATTGCACTCGCGTTTCGATTCCTGAACACCTCCTCCACATGTTAGGCTGCACGGCGTAAACGCAGTCCAAGGACCCCAACCGCCGTGCACCGTCTTGAGGGAGTAGCCCGTCCGTGGCACACAAACGCCCTTTTGACACCAATACCTGTTGTTGTTGCAGAGCGTGCCATCCGCCCAGGGCAGATTACTGGAGCGGCAATTTTCATTTGGATGCGTGCTGGCCTTGCAGAAGAGCCGGCGGCAATCCGCCTCGATGGAGCAGTGTGTGCTCTGGTTGCCATGTATCAGCTGACACTGGTGATCCAGAGAGTAGATCTCACCGGGCAGTTTCGTATTCAAGTTGTCGATGGGCGAGGATTGCGTGTCCTCCAGACACGATTTGTCCATTTTTCTAAGATCGCAAAAGTCACAAATTCGCTGAATTTCCACATTTTTCTGATTGGTAGTTTGAGTACTTACTCGAGAAACTCGGAGACATAGTGCCGTGAGCACTTAGACCAAGACCATGGATGCATATGATCCCCCATAACGCTGGACATGATGTGCAATGTAAGATTGTTGCCCGGCTTCGAGTTGTACTGCTTGCAACGATCGTCGTCATCATGCGGCATGTTCAGGCTAAAACAAACTGATTCAGAACAATGCTAGCACAAAGCAAACACATTCCTCTTACATGTGGCCCAATTCGTGTGCTATCGTGAAGGCGGCGGACAGGCCATTGTCCTGCACAATGGAACAGGCGCTGGCCTTGCAAACGGTGCCCAGCTCGGCCAAGCCCAGTGTTCTGCAGCGCTCCTCCCGCTCATTCGAACAAATCTGATCACTAGCGGGCGAAAATGTTGGCTATATAATGCCTTGCATACAGTTTGGCCGGAAAGCGTTGGACTTACCGTGTGATTAGCATAGCGGTATCATAGGGATAGCCTTTTTTGGTGAGAAACGAACAGAATCGTTTTAGTTTCTCGGATTTGCCTGGTCGATTGCTGGATCGATCGTTGATATCCTTTAGTTCGAGCAGTTTGACCAACGATATGCGTATCGAGTTACCAATGCTGGCATCCGCAAATATGTTCGATACAATCGATAATAGTGTGAGAATGTAGGACTTGAGATCTGTCTTATGGAACTCCATCATCGTGTGGTCGACGGCGATGAGCACCTCTAACGTGTATACCTGGTTGCCCTGATTATGTCGTTTGCGGCGCGTTAAATGCGTTGGCACACTTTCCGTCAGTTCGAGCGCCTCCATCACCAGTTCCAGATCGGAGACAGCCTGTCTGGGATTGCGTTTCGAATGCCGCCAGACGCGATGCAAGTTCTCGTCGCTATCCGTCTGGTTGACCGGCTGAATGAGCATCGTGCCGAAACCAGTTTTGATATAACCAGTCTGTGCAATAGTAAGTAGGAGGGCAGGGCAAGGCAGGAGTTGGATACACAAGCTTATTAGTAGTCGTACTCAGAGATAAATTGATAATAATTATAATTTGCGAAATGTTAATTCAATGCAAATGGCTTTTTGTGAAGGTCTCGGCCCCATGAACTGATCTCCACCAGAGCACCACCTGCTGCTCGTGTAGATTTTTTTTATGCGTGTGGTTTTTATTTAATATTTATTTTTTGGCCTTACCATGCCGCCGCAGAGGGAGACGGCGACCGCCGATTGATTGTCGCCTTCGACGTAACCTCTATAGTAGCAGCCCAAATAGTGCTCCTCATAATGAGATTCCTCCGTTCGATTATTAAGGATGCGTATGACCCGAAACGTTTCAGATGGTATGAACGAGGTATCCTGATGCAGTACCAGATGCAGCTGTTGCCCAAACACATTCAGCAAGTACTCCGGATGGGGGTCCCAAATCGGGCTAGTCTTGGTGCGGAATGTGCCAGTCATGCTGAACGCAGAAGTCGCATCTGCATTAAGCACATATTAAATGATGCATGGCTAGTCGATGTTGTTTTTGGTATTTCCCACTTACCCCTGTGGCTGCTATTGCTATTGCTGTGCCGCTTCGACTCGTATAACAAATCCTCGGCATTAAGACTAAAGTTGTGTATTTTGGTGAGTGTGACAGAGGTACTGAGATTGTCATCGGCAATGTGCTTGTTGTCACCAAAATCGTTTTCGCTTTTCATATCGTTGTCATCACTCCAATCGACAACATCCGTATCGTTATTAAACTTTTTCGACTCATGTACCTCGAAGAATCGGTTGCTATTGCTGATGCTATTGCCGATGCTATCGCTGGGCCTACTGCTATTCAGAAAGATGTATAGTCCGATCAGTGCAAGCACTATGGTCACGGGGATAAAAAAGCAGGCGTGCTGGCGCAGGTGAGCAGACATGTTTTGGATGTATTTATTCTTGTAGAACCACCATTCGCAAGTCTTCTTCAGCACGAGCTGCAAGTAACGCAAACACAAACACAAATATGAAAAGAAAGTCATAGTCAGCTCCAGCTATGGGCCACAGCCAGATGATGTATCAATAACGATAGAGCAGAAAGTTGAAAGCTCCACATTCTCTCACACCTTCAATGCAGATTACAAGCTCTGAGCGTATGGGGCAAGTGGGCACGTTCCATTGACCCATCAAGTAGACACAATCAATGGGGATGGGAGGTAACTGATTTGAGTGATTAACTCTTTGAAAGAATTATTAAATTGATCAACCGACGCGTCGGCAGCTGCCTTGGCCACCTGTGAGTGGCCACTCAGACCCCGGCCCACTTGGCCTTTACCTGCACGCGCACCGGCCGCTATTTGTAGATCTATCGAGCTGTTGAAAACACTTCCTCACATCTCAAAAATTTCGCACTTTTTTGCTTTTTTCTTTAATTGCTTAAACAGAAATGCCTAAGCGCATAGGTGTAAAGTGTGCCAACGGCAATTTCTGTTTGCTTGCCAGTAAAGAAAACAAAAAAACAGAAAATATAATACAATAGCGCAGAAAGAGAAACAAAAAGTTGAAATAGTTAGATACCCCCGCGAGCGAACAATTTATGTGGCTTTTATTTTGTTAATTTGTCTGAGTAGCATTTCTTTGCACCTCTGCGCAAACATTTTAAATGTGTGCATCTAGCGTATCATGATCAATGTGGTATTTATTGTGGTGCCAAAAAATTAATTGAAATTCATCCAAAAAAAAAATAAAAAAAAAATCACGAAATTAGTTGCCAAATTTTACATAATTTGACGGCAGCTCTGTGAACTCTGTGACCGGCGACGCATTTGTTATGCGACCAAATTGTCACATCGAACGTGTTTTTTGACGTTGATAAATCCATGACATCCAAACTGGATGCCAAGGCGTAGCGTGTGCTCGGATTTCCGTTGCGATCCCAAACGATTTTCAACGTAGCGTAGCTCTTCAAAAAAATGACACTCAATTTTGGAATCGCTTTTGACCTTTTATGTTCGTTATTATTATTGAAAAAAGCTCAAATTGATGGGTCATTAAAATGTTTTTCTGCGATCATTCACTGCGTGGCCCAATTCAATAAATATTGACATAGCTTAAGATTTATAACATGACCAGCTATGAATATTGAACAACATGTTTTGAGTATACCTCTTCGAAAAACTGTCAATATGCATTTGCGAGATAGCCAATTTATATTTGCATACTTTTTGGGGTCAGTCTACGAAGTGTAGGGCTAACTAAGATAAGTCGTTTGACTTTATAAATAATAAAAAATAATATATATATTATCGAAATTATTATTTTAAAATACATATTTGAGTTTTACAAATTAGAAATGTGTACAATACGCAAATTCAAAAAATATTTTCAGTATAGATTATCCATAGAACAACTGGTTTAATTTGATATATTTATTTATAGTTTTTTTGCAATGCAAATCAATTGAATATATCTCATAATTTAAAAGTTGTATTGCTACGTAGAGCTACCGATTGAAACTAAGAACGCTTTTATTATAAATATAAGATTTCGCACTGCTGGAGCGTGCTGAATTTTAATTTATATGTTTATATATACGTTGTGTGCTTTATATATGTATGTATGTGTGTATTTTATAAATCAATATTTTGCACAAATGTTTATAATGTCAGAACATTAATCAACGCTCCTATCTGTATACAATGGGCAAACAGTCAGGGTTATCACTGCCAATGCCTGAACTGGTCTTTCTCGGCAAGCTTTCTCGCTTTTCGTTGAAGAATTTCTATTGAAAATCGAAATATATAAATACGCGACCTGCTATCTGAAGCTGCTGTATTATTGGTGTGAGGCTTATCATAAATTTCATTTAATGCTTTAATAGCCGTTTCGCGATTTGCAATGCAAATCCTTGGGTCTTTATGTATTTAATTAGAGGGCCATTCTGATGATCTCTGTGTTTACCTCGGCGCCGATAGTTATACATGCGTTTGGGGAGCTGCTTATTAACTTGTTTCCAAAACAACCTCATAAATATGTAAATGCAATGTGTGCGTTCTGCTTTTATCAGCGACGAGTGATAGCCACGCCAATGTTTGGGCCTTTAGTTTTCTTGGTCTGTTTCATTTCCATTTAATACGCGAATAGTTCATTTAATTTATTGTTAAGTCAAAGTGGTTCTTAGGCTCTGACTAATTGACCAAACCAATGAGGCGGCAGCCCAAAAAAAAAAAAAAATCGAAACCAAAACAGAAATCCAACAAAAACAAAAGAATACTAAAGAAACATCCGAAGCGAGATAAAAACCAGTTTACACTTGGCCAGCGTTCAAAATAGTCAAGAAACAAGCGATTTGTGTGTCAGTCTATTACTTTATTTCTATTTACCGAATGCTATAATTTATGCCAATGGCTAAATTTTTGGCCGACACTCTGTCTGCGGAGCAGTCGTGGGGCAATGACGCCGCACAGTCTGTCCTCTCGAGCGGCATGAAGGTCGTTGCCGCCGCAGCTTCGCAGTAGGCTGACACTCAATAGCGACAGGGGATTCATGGACGATACACACTTTTTTTTTTTTGGTGTTGTGAACCACATACTTTGGCACTGGCTAATTGATCGAGGTGTTGGTGCTAAGTGAACGCCCAGCGACAAGCAATTGAAACACGCGTCTCACGTCACGCTGCGTATGCGCAATGTGTTCAATTAATTATACGGCAAGTGTGCTGTTGCGCTTAATTTGTATTTAATGACTTAATTGCAAATGCCGCCCTGCAGCCAGTCGGGAATGCGAGCCGAATTCCATATACGCATTGTGACAATAGTACATAATTTGCAGGTCCGCATGCGAAACGCCAATAGCAAATTAGCAAATTAGCAAATTAACAGCTACATTTTGGTATTCACTTATTAATTGCCAGCTAAATCAAATTGTTTACATACATATTTGGTTGGTCTGACGGTTTAAGATTTCAGCACATTCTGCTGGCCATTAGCTCACGCTTTATTATAGCCATGCATTTGGCTAAGACCTGATGTGCAACAACATGCTGTAGGAGGCATTTCGAAAAAATTATTCCTAATGCAGACACTTTGTACAAATCCGGTGCGATTGTATTTATGGCGGCTGCATGTGAATGATAAATAAATAAACTTGTTGAATTTATGGGCGTGTGTTTTATGCCTTTTTGCTCTCGACGCGTGACCGGGTGCAACAATATCGAAAACTCTATTGGCTTAAATACAAACGCTCGGCCAAACAAACATAACCAAACAATATGCCGGATTACCGTTAATGCCAAAAGTGTGTGTAAATATTTTATTAATTTCACTTGAGCGTTTCCTGCGAAATGTTTTGCCAACGTACAGGAACAGACAAACAAATTCAAAGCTAAAAGTCCGTGGGAAGCATTTGCGAAAGCCAAAACGAAAACAAAAACTCGGCTAATCAACTAAAGGAAAATAATAAAAACACGTTCATAAAATTTGCCCACAGGTTTCCCTAGAAAAGTCTCTGAGCCACACGCCAAATGCAGAAAATCTGTAGTCTTTGGCTGAACTGGGTAAGTCCCCCACATCAATTCCAAATAAAGAATGACTGTATTGATCAAAGTATAAATATTTATGTGTATATATTGAATAAATAGATAAAGTGATGCATTTGCATTCAGCTTGGCATTGTGTATCTAAATTGAAATCAGCATTGAACTGAAGTGCATTGATAACTTCACAATTCACAATTTATAATTCACAATTGAAAATTGAAAGCCATCAGCAGCAAACCCAAATCAATTAACCTTGACAAAAATGCGTTTGGCAAAAACTTAATTGAAAATGGGCAACAAAATGCATTCAACAAAATTGACTTTAATGCCATTTGGCTTAACGAGCTGGCCAACACATCGACTCGCCGGCTGCCCGGCTGGCTGGCTGGCTGGCTGGCTGGCTGGTTGATTGAATTGAATGGGCTGGACAACGGCCACGTTTGCTATATGTCTGCCATGTCATTAGGCTAGTCATCATCATAGAAATATCAGTTGCTTATATAGAGCAGCATCATCATTGCTGCCTCACTCTCTGTGTATGCCACGCATATGGCAGTCGGAGGTAGACCCCCAAAAGTAATTTCGTCCAGTTAATTATTGCGTGTTTAACCTTGAAATTTTATATGTATATTGCGATCGTTCTAAAACTGTAAAATAATCAACATTGTTTAGCTTTCGTTTAATGAAATTTGCACAAAATAAACTAAATAGACACATCGAAAGATAGAAACAAAAAAAGAAAGAAAAAAACATAATAATATAAAACACGCCAGGCCGCGAGCAAATGTTTAGCTTTGATATTTTAATTTGCATAATAATACGAATCAAAATATTGTATCGATATCGTGTGGTGCATGACTAATGCTGAGAATCTTGGATCTTAAATTCCAATTTCGAACACTTTTGCACTTGTCTGTAAAGTGTCGTAAAGTTTTTAATGCACACTTTTAACTGCACTTCTGAGACTTGCAATGTTATGCCCGTAAAAGTATTGCAGTTAATTTGTGTATTTATTCAGGTTTTATTTAATACTTTATTTAATGGGCTGCCTTTCTGATTTATTTGGCACACTTTTGTGCAAATGGCATGAAATACACACTCAAACACTGGTGAATTTCAATTTATGGTCACACGCGGCGTATGCGTTATATGGAATTGTCTACATCACCGGGGTAATTGACATTTCGTGATGGTTGAATGCGAGTAGGGTTTTAAATAGACATGAAATATAATTCAACCCAAACCTATAATTGTATCCATCTTTGTGGTTTGAAAATGTGCTAAATTTTGAAGATTTAATTGAATCAATATAATCGATCATAATAATAACTCACATTGAGCCATCTAAATTTGGTTTATCAACATTTGTGTATGGGAGTAGTGCATTCAACATTCTTCAGTGCCGCACATTCTCACGTTCGGTTAATTTACATATTTATGCATGTGTATCTACAGTTGGAT